TCACTTCACTCGGGAGCTCCCGAGCGAAGTGAACCCCACCCTCGCCCTCGGAAATCGTGGGGGGTAGGGGGTAGGGCTCGCATGTGGCCCCCTAGACGCACCACCGGCGGACCTGCACACGCCGGTATACCTCTGCTGCCGCGGTGCGGCCAGAACGCCGCCGTGCGAAGCCCTGGCCCATCGGCGGCGGCCAGCACGCGCCGCCGAGAGCGCCGGGAGGCCGACATCTCCGCGCCGGCGTCGGGAGCGACCCGCTCCGGGAGCTGCGCACGCCTCCGCTCGGACTCTCGGGCCGGGCGAAAGGGGGGGGGGGGGCTTCGCAAAGGGGGGGGGGAGAATCAGCTCACGTAGCGGATTTTCCCAGCGCCTCCTGGCGCCGGAGGCGGCTACGTATCGAGGGATGGGCCCGGCGGCGGGGCCGAAACCGGCCGCATGCAGCAAATTTCGTAAACTCCCCCTTTTCCCTATCCCCCCCTTCCGTCCGACCCGAGACTCGGCCTCCCCCCTCTCTGGGCCGTCGGGGCCCTCGCGGCGCGCCACGGCCGCCGCGCTGCCGGCCGCAGGCGCTGCTGGCCGCGGGCGCGCGACGCCGAAGAGGAGGCCTCCACGGCCGCCAGGGACAGCAACGCGGCTGAAGCGCCGTGGGAGGACAAGGGTGCAGCGACCGCCTCCGCTTGACTGGGACGAAAGAGGCTTGCGCCAAGACGGCAACGGAAGCCATCTTGGGGGCCTCCTGTGCCCCGTGGAGGCTCGTCGGCAATCGTTGCGCGATCTTTGGGCCCTCTCGGCTGTGCGAGCACTGCACCCCAAAACTTCAAAAACATGATGCTGACAAGTCTGGCTTCCTGGGCCGGGCTCCCTCAGAACGGGCGCACGAGAGACCCTGCAAGCGCTCCACGACAGGCCTCTCAGGATCCCTTTGTCATGCTTCGCGATAACGACCGTGACAGGCGCCGCACCCCCCGCCCCCTTCCCGCCCTGGTCACGTCACGATTCGCGCCGGCGCCGTGTGGGAAATAGCCATTCCTAAGCATTCCCGAACGGCGCCAGCGCGAATCGTGCCGTGACCTGCCCCCTCCCCCCATGCTACCCCCGTCACGCCCTTTATCGCCAGGGGGCCCAAAAACTGTCTCCATCTGCGGGCATATTGGAAAGGCATGTGCCCAACGACTCCCGAGGCCCTGGACAAGCCACGCGGGGGCGCAACAGAGGGCACCGGGGAGCGCCCGGAACTCCAGGGCCTGGGGGAACACTCGAAGGGGCCCGAGGACACCCTGTGCCTCGCGGCACGGTGGCGGATCCTTGCAGTCATCGTAGGGGTGCAGGAATCACCAGGCTCCCACGGTCCCCGCGGCCCCCGAATGCAATGGGAGGCGGAGGCTGCTGGGCCCTTGGCGGGGTTCAGTCGGTTGGGCTTGTTCGGCAGGACCAGCGGCAAGTGCCTCTCCGAGGAAGGCGGCGAGTCCGCCTGGGCTGCCTGAGGGCGGGGACGAGACAGGGATGGGGATGGGCGAAGGGCGAAGGGGAAGAGGGGGAGGGGATGGGGTGCGAGAGGAAAGGAGGAAGGAAGGGGGTGGAAACAGGAGAGGGGCTGGCATCCTTCGGGCAGTCCATGCGACCTGGGGTGGGAAAGGGGGAGCTGGCGACAACCTGACGTGCTTCGATGCCCTGCCCAATCCCACATGCGATTGGGGCACGCGTCCAGGAATCGCCCCGTGGACCTGCGTCAGCGACAGGGCAGAATGATCGGGGAGGGATGGGGGAGGGAGGGGCGGGGCTAGACAACCTGTGCCGCCGCCTGACCCCTCAAACACACTCAAGCGAGAAGGGGGAGAGAAAAGAGGAGGGAGGAGGAGGGAAGCAGAGGGGGAAAAGAAAGAAGCGAGAACATGGAGAGGGAGGCGCGGAAGTGGAAGATGTGCTGGTGGCCGGGACCATGTGCGGAGTACCCATTTCACCGACCTGCACTGCAAGAGATGGCTCCACCTCTCCAGTACAGCGGACCAGCTCTTCCAATACAACGCCCTTGTTTCCGTCGGGGGGGGGGGGGGGGGAATTTCACGTGCAAAAGCGGCCTCGAGATCACATCGATTGAAGGATCCCCACGCTTCCCCCCAGAGGATCCGGGATTCACCATCACGGCACCAAAACTCGCCAGACGGACCCAGGACCTGGAAAATGGCATACTGGGGGTGAAAACGACTGAACGAAGCACGGACTGCCGAGGACGACCATGGGGAAATGCGAGATGCGGTTCTGGATTATTGATATAATGCTGTCGTAAACCCGTCTGCTTCTAGGTCGTGCCCGTCGAAGGGCGCAATGGGGTCAAGGTCGTGAAAGCTCTACGTAATGACATGGAATCGGGGCCTGAAGCTTGGCGACAGCGCAAAAGAGGGCCGTTCCTGAATCAGCGGGATCAGAATGTATTTAAGCCAACACGTCCGTTGCCGAATGCACGATTGAGAGAAGCGCGCGGGCTATGACGAGGAATACACACACGATGCACATATGGAGACGTGCCGGAAGAGCAGGACAAAACGACGATTCCACACGATGGTGGGTGGCATGCCGCCGTGCTTCTGGGAGGTGGAACCGACTCCTGCCGACCCTCGGGTGCTGGGCAATCACTTGTTGGATCCTCCCGCTCCTCCTTTGTCTCTCCTCATTGTGCCCTTCGTGACCTCTCGCAACCTCTCGCAAACGCTGCCTGATCCCTGGTGGTTGCACCCGCACCTTCACTGCCCTTCCCTCCTTCTCCTCCTCCTGCTCCCCCTTTCTCTCTCCCTCCTGCATCCTGCCCTACCCCCCTCTCTTGTTGCGTCTTTCTACGTCGCAGATCGATCCTCCACTCCTCGCACGTGCCCTTTTCCATCACCGCTCGTCCTTCGTCGGTCCTCCTCCCGCCTCAATTTGCCCCTGGGTTCTCTTGCAGTACCGCGGGGCCTGCGGGGCGCTTCCAACAGGGACACCCAAACGAGTGCAGCGTGAGAACCTCTCCGAACTCGAGAACGCTGAACACACATCAATCAGGCTTGGCAGAAATTTCGGTAGGGGTCCGCGCCCAAAACAGGGTCCATACTGGGGCATGTTGGTACGGTATGCTGCTATAGTTGGCTCTGGGGTCCCCAAATCGAAAGTGGCATCATGAGGGCCGACACATGCACACAAATCCAAATCCCTGCTGTTTGTGAATGATCATGTTGTGTGACAGGGCCCTCTCTATTGCTCAAAGGCGGCACCAGGGAGTCCCTTGCTCAGCTCAGCAGTTGAGGGGTCCCATCCCAGAAGCGTCAGAAGCAAAACATGGCGAGCAACAGCCTGGAACCTCACTGACTGCCAGGTATACAAACACCCGTGCGTTCCTCCTTCTCCTCCTCCTCCACCTCCTCCTCCTAATTATGTTGCTACTCCTGCTTCTCCTCGTCCTCGCCAATGCCGTCGTGCATCCATTAGAGTGCAGCTGGCGGCGGAGGCCGAATCATAGTGTCATCAGGACAGACACAGGCGGCATACGTACAGCTACGAAGCGGGCGCCCAGACGCAATATCAATTCCAGCAAATAGAATATGCATCAAGGCTGCGCGAGTCAAGCAAGGAGAATTGTGTCCATCACCAAACTGGCAAGTGGACATCCCAACGCTGCCATGCTGGGCTACGAAGATCCATAATTGTCCCAAAAGCGTGGAGTCCTGCCGCGGGTCCCGCGTATTCACGTCTCTTCGAGGTCCCCGGGGACGACCTCGAAGCGATGGATAACGATATTTTTTGGGGGATGAGCAGCCACGCGGGGCCCGGGCGCGAAGGCCTGACTTTCCGGGCGGGCGCGAAGCAAGTTCGGCGGAAGCATGTCGTGAGCAGACCGGGGGGTTGCGCTTGACGTGGCGCAGGTGGACTTAGCAATGCAGTCATCACCGATGCCCATGTGGCTGGGAGGGATAGAGAGAGAGGGGGAGGCCAGACGTCCACTCCCTGCCGGGAGCGGCCCCCTGCTGGCAGTCAGAAAACTGCCTGGGCAGGCCGTGGGTGGTGAAGCGTGCAAGTGCAACCGATCAGAAGATTCAGGGGTTACGCGTCAGCCCACCTCTTGACAGACCTGCCAGTTCGCCTGAGAGAGAGGGAGAGAGAAACAAACAAACAAAAATTGAAAGCACGGCCAAACCACAAAAACATACGCGCATATACACACAAACAACAACAGACACGGGGCGGCCAGTGCCGCTTTCAGCTGCGCGCGCGCTCACAGGATGACCTCGTCGCGAGCCGTCGCCCGAGGTGCTCTCCAGGGCAAAGCGCACCGAAACTACCCAGAGGCAAGCCGCAGAGTGCCAGCCAGTATCGAGCCAGAGGGCACTTGATGTGCAGAAAGTAGGAGTGCAGAAAATCCACCCCGATAATAACCACCCCGACACGCGAAGCCGCTTAGTAAACTCACTCAAAGAAGGAATCAAACAGGGCAGGGCTGTTTAGTTAACGCCCAAGGCCGTGTAGTAAACGCCAATTGTCCGACCCGGGTGATTGTTCCTCCCTTGAGGAAAGGGCCCAGTGTCATCCAGCTGGACGGGCGCGCGCAGCTGCTGCTGCTCCAACCGGAACTGGCAGGAGGGAGCGGAGGCCTGGCGGAATCGGGTCCTGAAGCGCAGGGTTCTCCCCAGGACCGCCATGTCGTGCAGAATCTTTTTGTCGACGGTCCCCAGGGCCCGGTAAGGCCCAGAGAACGCGAAGCATGTCGCAGAACATGCAAGACCCGTTGCCTCGAGGACCCCCCTCTCCCCTTTCATGCGATGCGGACGGCGCTCCCAGAAACTGGGCACGCCGCTGGAAACGAGGGCGGCCGCGACGGCAATGGGCAACCTCTGCGCACAGCATCTTGAGCGAGCAAGGGCTATCAAAGCCGGGTCCTGGTGCGCACGCAATGCAACTCGGCAGCGCCTTCTTCTTTTTGTTTATACTTCCCACGGAGAGCTGCCGCTCGCGCGCTCTTCTGCCCACGCTGCCCTTTTCCGGATGCTCGGCTCCTCGCTCGCTCGCCGAAGGAAAGCACCCTTGGTCGCTCCCAGTGGCCCGCGAGCAACCTGACGGGCCTGTTTTCCATCACCACCACCACCACAAGTTGGAGGAGAGGGGGTCCTCCTCCTGCTCCTCCTCCTCCTCCTCCTCCTCCTCCTCCTCCTCCTCCTCCGACTTATGGTGGTGGTGGTGGGAAGCAGGCCCATCACAACCCGCTCCGTGCCGTCGGCGAAGGGGGCGACCGCGGAGCAGCAGGCGCAGCGGCGGGAGGCGCGAGGAGCGCACCCCCTGGCGCAGCGGAGCCCTCCCTCGGCCAGCCGGCCACAGTGGAGGCCCAGCCGGTGACTGCGGCGAGGTGGCGCGCAGCCAATAGAGGAGGAGGAGGAGGAGGAGGAGGAGGAGGAGGAGGAGGAGGAGGAGGAGGAGGAGGAGGAGGAGGAGGAGGGAGAGAAGAGGAGGAGGAAGGGAGGAGAAGGAGCGTAAGATGCTCGAGGAGATAGGAGGAGGAGGAGCAAGAGGAGGAGGAGGAGGGGAGAGAGGGGAAGGAGAGGAAGAGAGGAGACTGGAGGAGGAGCGGAAAAGAGGAGGGGATGAGGAGGAGGCGGAAGAGGAGGAGGAAGAAGGAGGAGCAGGAATTGGAGGAGGAGGAGGAGGAGAGAAGCAGCAGCGGAAGAAAGAGGAGGTCGAGGAGGAGGAGGAGGAGGAGCAGCAGGAGGGGGCACAGGGTTCGAGGGCATCGGGGCTTCATCGCTCGACGCTGCCCGCAGCTCGAAGCTCGAAGGAGGCACAGGGTCGAGGGCGCTGCCCAGCGAGCTGGGCGATCGAACGTGCGACCGGTGCAGGGGCCGACCCGCCGATGCCCAACAGTCGCAGGAGGGCTCGATTTGAGCTCAGGGACTCTGATGATAACAGCCCGTGATCCCCAACTTGCAGATAGGTGCAGCTGCTACAGCATGCAGCTGCATCACGGAATACTTCTCTGAAGTGAGGCCTGCTGCACTTCTTTGGCATGTGGGGGAAAGGTGTCCTGAGGTCAACGGGGCCTGGGCCCTGATCTTCATCCCGAGTCGTTCTCTGACGGTCCCGCAGCCCGAGAGCCCGAGAGCCCGAGAGCGGCGACAAACCTCAGGAGCCGCTTCCCTCAGGACCCGCTCCCCCCCCCCGGCGAGGAGCATGCCTCTCATAGCTCTGGAGCGTGTGCTGGCCCGCGGGCGTGCACGGCAGGGCCTCGCGCCCCGGCGCCCGAGCGAGGCAGGAGCAACGGCATCGGCGCTCGCCTCCCTTTCGGCGAGGGGCGACGGCCGGCCCGCCCGCGCGCGCCCCGCACATGGCGGGTCGTGCACCGTGGGCCGCATGCCGCCGCGCCCCGCGCGGAGCGGCAGCGCAGGCGCAGAGGCCGCGGCCCGCAGCCGCGCGGCCTCTCGCGCGGCGGGGGCCCCCTGCGCAGCGGGCGCCTTGTCGCGCCGCTGAGCATCGTTGAACCGAGGCCCATCCCCAGCGGCGTGGCCTGGACCCCACTGGCCGATCTCTGCCCCCCTGGATGGGGAGATATGGGCCGTTCCCTTCGGGTCTCGAGGGGGGTCTCTCCAACTGGGGTGGTAGCTCGGTGGGGGTCTCTCGAAGGGGATGGAGCTCAGGATGGAGGTCGGTTCAACGATACTGACTCAGTGATGGGCCTGTTTTCCACCACCACCACCACCATAAGTTGGATGGCGAGGGGGTCCTCCTCCTCCTCCTCCTCCTCCTCCTCCTCCTCCTCCTCCTCCTCCTCTTCATCCTCCTCCTCCTCGTCCTCCACCTCCTTCCCCCCTCCAACTTATGGTGGTGGTGGTGGTGGAAAACAGGCCCATCACTCGGGGCGTTGGCGGCGGCCGCAGCGGGCGTCGACCAGCGAGCAGCAGCGGCGGGCTGCGGCAACCAGCCGAAGCGGTGGCGGGCGGCGGCGAGAGGCGGGGCGGGTGGCCTCGCGGAGCTCCGGGTGGCTCATCCCGTTGGTGCCCGGAGCCTCGCGGCCCCCTCCCTCCTCCTCCTCCTCCTCCTCCTCCTCCTCCTCCTCCTCCTCCTCCTCATCCTGCTCCTCTTCCTCCTGCTGCTGCTCCTCCTCCTCCTGCTCCTGCTCCTCCTCATCTCCCTCCGCCTCGACCTCCGGCTCCTGCTGCGTGTGGGTGTGTCGTTCTCGGCCTCTCTGTCTTTTCGTTTGTGTGGTTGCTTGATCTCCTTGCTCTCTCCCTTGTAGCGTCGGATGATCCTTTTCCTCTTCCTCCTCCTCCTCTCCTCCTTCTCCTCCTCCTCCCTCCTCCTCCTCCTCCTGCCGCCTGCGGTATCCTCCTCCTCCTCCTCCTACTCCTCCTCCTCCTGCTCCTGCTTCTCCTTCCGTGACGGCAGGCGCGTCCGCCGTTCGCCTCCTCCTCCTCCTCTCCTCCTCCGTCTGCTTCTCCTCCTCCTCCTCATCCTCCTCCTCCTCCTTCTCCTCTTCCTCCTCCTGCTGCTCCTCCGCCTCCTGCTGCTCCTCCTGCTGCTCCTCCTCCTCCTCCTGCTCCTGCTCCTGCTCATGCTCATGCTCTTGCTTCTCCTCCACCTCCTCCTCCTCCTCCTCCTCATCCTCCTCCTTCTTCTCCTCCTCCTCCTCGTCCATCCCTCTTCCTCCTCCTCCTCCTCCTCCTCCTCCTCCTCCTCCTCCTCCTCCCTGTCCTCCTCCTCGTCCTCGTCCTCCTCTTCCTCCTGAAGTCTCCTCGTCCAGCCCTTTTTCCAAATAAAAGCTCCTCCATGTCGCACCCCCAGACGTGTCCGTACGGCGGGCCGGGCGTTTCGCCTGAGACTTGATCGCCTGTTTGTGGTCCTGAAGCTTGAAATTGCAAGAGCTTCATGGCTGGAGGGTGGGTCCTTTTCCAAATGCGGCCCTCGATTTAGCGCCGCGCACATGCGTCCAACCGCTTGCAGCAGTTCCATGTATGAAGTGCGGGTCGTTCTCACAAGGTAGCTCTCGCTCAGCACCACGCGCATTCGTCTTCATTGTTTGCAGCAGCGTCACGGATGGGGTGCAGGTTTGTTCCAACATGTGTCTCTCGCCTTAGCGCCGCGCGCATTACTTCAAAGTTCGCAAAAGCTTCACGGATGGAGGGCGGGTCGTTTTCAAAATGTGACGTTTGCCTTGGCGCCGCGCACATTCGCCTGAACAATTTGCAACAGCTTCGAGAATGGGGGGCGGCTCCTTTTCAAAATGTAAGTATCGCGTCACCGCTGCGCACATTCGCATGAAAAGTTTGAAGCGGATCCGAGGAATGGCGTTCTGGCGCGATTGAAGATCGCCAGGACGCAACAGACAGGTTGACTCGCGTCGATAAAGCCCCAGGAACGGCATTCTAGCACGACTTAGGGTTGCCAGGGTTCAACAGTCACGTTGATCCGCGGTTGTAACATCCCAGGCAGAGTGGTTTGGCACGATTGAAGACTCTCAGACGGTTGTCTTCAAATGGGGGACTTCCCGCAACGAAGCTAATCTGTTGTAGGAACCTATGAAGAATGAACTGGAACTAGGGCTTACTGCAACATCGTGGATGCGTCTTGGTTTTGCACTGGCCCTCATCCTCCTCCCCGTCCTCCGCCTCCTCAAACTCCTCCTCCTCCTTCTCCTCCTCCTCCTCGTCCATCCCTCATCCACTTCCTCCTCCTACATTCTCATCCTCTGCTCCTCCTGCCACATTACTCTCCATCTAAATCCTCGTCATCCTTCCTCCTGCTGCTCCTCCTCCCCTTCGCCTCGCTTCGACTGCTATAATGAGCAGGTAACAGCGCACGTAGAACAACAACCTGGCACACTAACGCGCCACTACAATGCCATGGCCACTCGCAAGATGTTGCGCAAGGTCCTGCTGATCTCTTCGGCTGTCGCCCTGCGCCGGCCTGGCGTTGCCTCCGTGACATCCGACCGAATCGTCTCCCAGCGGCTTGGGCGGCCACTAGTCGCCCGAGTGCCAGCCACGCCCCCATCGGTCGAGTAGCGCGCGCTGGCCTGCTCAGCCTTGCGTTCGCGCAACCAGCTCAGAGGTTGCACTTTCAGCGCCGCCGCTGCAGGGAGATCCTGGTGGCGCCCGAGGTGCCGGCGCCAGTTCGTGCACCGCTCGGCTCACACAGCGCTCCACGGCTTCCCTCGCAAACTTCTGGCCGAATTGGCCTGCCGCGTTGGCCACGCACGGAAAGACTCCCCGTCCTCCGTCCCACCGTCTTACCCGCTGGTTGGCTGACGCAAAGCGGAGTTGTGCTGCGTCCAGGACCTTCATGCCCGTCTTGTTGATTTGCCTGCCGCCTGGGGCAAGAACGTTTCAGCAGGCGCCAAGGAATTCCGTTCCCTTGAGTAGGGGATCGACTACAGAATTGACTTGCCCCCAACTTGATTTCATCGTCGAATCTACAAGAGAGACGTAGCTTTTCATGGGTTCGACGAAAATGAACAGTTCTGGGCTAAAAGAATTCGGTAGTAGCTCCACTACTCGAACCCTGGAACGCTCGGGCACCGACTGCGCTGGCTTGCAAAAAAGCCTCAAACGCGGGTGGAACGTCCTGTGGAGCTGTCGCATGCCAATGCCACGGCACTCCTCCTCCTCCTCCTCCTCCTCCTCCTCCTCCTCCTCCTCCTCCTCCTCCTCCTCCTCCTCCTCCCCCTCCTCCTCCTCCCCCTCCCCCCCTCCTCCTGTGTGGAATTTCCGCTCCTCCTCTTCCCCCTCCTCCGCCTCCCCCTCCTGGGCCGCGACCCAAGCCCCGCCCCTGCGTCCTCCGTCTCCGCCGACTCCTTCTCTGCGGCCTTCCCCACGTCCGTGGACGCCCTCCGGCTGCCGCGCCCGCGGCTGAGGGCGCCGAGGTCCATGCTGAAGGCGCCGAGGTCGCGCTTGGACGACAAGCTCTCGCAGGGGGGCCGAGGATCAGCAGGTGGGGGAACCAAGAGATACCGATGCCGCTGCTCCCTTGGCCCTCTCCTGGGGTGCGTTCCGACCAGGACCGCGAGGCGAGTCCAGCCGAGGCGACGAGGGCCGCCCAGGAGACTCCAGAGAGGCGAAAACGAGGGAGGGGTGGCGGTACCGGCACCTGTTCCTCCTCTGATCGGCGACGAGCCCGGGGGGGAAAGAGAAGGAGAATGCCCTCTCGGAAGGCTCGGAAGTCCCCTGGCCTTCTGAGAAATTCGCTAAGCCTTCCCAGAAGATGCAGAAAACTGCTCCGAAGGCGCGAGGGCTTCTCCTCCTGAGAAGGCCTTCTCCTCCTGAGAAGTCCCGCCGCCTTCTGAGAAAGGCCTCCTCCTTCTCGCTTCCCCCCCTCGCTCGCCGCCGACCTCAGCATGAAGGAAACGGGTCCTGTGGGAAATTCGGGTCGGGCGAAAGGGGGGGGATAGCAAAGGGGGAGGTTGAGAATCAGCTCACGTAGCTGATTTTCCCGGCGCCTCCCGGCGCCCGAGGCGACTACGTATCGAGGAATGGGCCCCTCGGTGGGGCCGAAGCCAGCTGCATGCCGCAAATTTCGTAACCCCCCCTTTCCCAATCCCCCCCTTTCGTCCGACCCGAGAAATGGGCCCTGGATCGGGAGCGGCCAAGAGGGGGGTGTCCAAGAGGGGGGGTGCAAATCATGACCGGCGGCACGTGCGCGGCCCAGCGGGGGGGCCAGGGACGCAATGAAATGAGAAGAGGCGCCATGTGATCTGGGGAAGAATCATGGCCCCCGCCATGATGTCCACCCCCCCCTGGTCATCACCCCCCCTCTTTTCCGCCCCCGACGGAACCCCTGGGGGCCTTCTCCCGGGACCAGGTCTTCCTCCCGAGGCGTTTCCTGCCCGTCCCGGGGCCCGGGAAGGGCCCCTGCGGCCCGACGGCGGCGAAACACCTAAGGGCCCGTGCCCCTCAGGACCCGATTGGAGGAGGAGGGGGGGGGGAGGAGGAGGAGGAGCAGGAGGAGGAGGAGGAGCAGGAGGAGGACGAGGAGGAAGGAGGAGGAGGGAGGAGGGAGGGAGGGAGGGAGGGAGGGAGGGAGGAGAAGAAGGAAGGAGGAGAAGGAGGACGAGGAGGAGAAGGTTGGGTAAAGGTGACCTTTGGTGCACGCTTGTTTATGGCCGCAGGGGGGGCCAAGCTTGGACCAGACACCAGCGCGCAAGACGCCACTGCCGCATCGCGTTTGGCGATCGGGGGGCCCCAGGTTGCCCGCACCAAAGGTCACCCCGGCGAAAGGTTGCTTTTACGTGTAGCCGACAACTCACGGAAGCCTCCCATGCGGCCGGACCTAAGACAGAAAAACATCCTGCAAGAACACGAAACCCTCCGCTGGCCAAACTGAAGACCACTCGAGGGTGCCCTCCCCGAGGATGCATAAGAACATCCAGCAAACACGAAGAGCACTAGGGCACCCTCCCCGAACCGACCTCGATCTGATACCTCGGTCCGACCGTACCTGTTTGTTGGCTCTTGCGAATCGACGCCAGACGACGCTGAATCGATGCTAATCGGCGCCAAATCGGCACCAGATTCAGGTCGGGCGTGCACCCCTACAGGCGGATTCTGAACGACAAATTAAAGATACCCCCAACATACTCCCAAAATGCAATAAAAAACAAAATCACCAGCCCTCTGGGCGCAGGTGGTCTAGCGCGTTTCCTTTTCCAACCTCCTTCCTTTCCCTGCTTGGGAGGTTTACCTCCCCCCCTCCATGCGTTTGGACGGGGGGGGCCCGACCCATAGCAGCGTCCAAGATGGCCTAAAATGGTTCCAAGAGGGCCTCAGAGAGCGCAAGATGGCCTCCAAGATAACCCAAGATAGCGGCAGATGGGTCAAGATAGCCTCCGACACACGTCCAAGAGGCTTCAAGACGGCCCCCAGGCGGTTTCAAGTGCTGTCCGAGGCATCCGAGGACCTCCCCAAGAGGCCAAAATCCTTCAACAGCCGAAGGAAAGCCAATGTTGCCTGCCTTCTCGCTTTTTCGCCTCCGATGGGCTCTTGGGGCCTCAACATGGCCCCAAGACGATCCAATATAGCCCCAAGAGGGGTCCAAAAGGGACCCAAGACGGCCCCAAGAGCGCCCAAGAGCGCTCCAAGAGCGCCCAAGAGCGCTCCAAGAGCGGGCCAACTGCACTTTTGAGCCTCCGATGGGGGGTCCGAATTGAAGACCCTCCTCTTTTTTAGCGAAAGGGTCCAAGAAGGCCCCAAGAGGACCCTCAGGCATCCCAAAAGAGCCCCAAGAAGGCCCCCAGACCCCCCAAAAGAGCCCCGAGAGCGTCCCAAGAGAACCCCAGGAGAGCCCCAAGATGGCGCCAAGATGGCATTACGAGTTTCTCCTCCCCTCTGGTTGATCTATGTGGCCTAAGACGGCCCCAAGAGGCCTCCCAGACCCCCCCAAAGAGCCCCAAGAGGGCCCCAAGACGCCCCAAAAGAGCCCCAAGAGGGCTCCAAGAAGGCCCTAAGAGGACCTCTAGAGAGCCCCAAGAAAGAGCTCCAGGAGGGCCCCAAGAGAGCCCCAAGAGAACCCCAAGAGAGCCCCAAGATGGCTCCAAGTTTCGAAACGCACGCGAACATAAAATACAAATCAATGCAACAGCCAATACGAGTTATCGAAACACCCCCCACCCCTCATCGAAGCGCCATCGTAGCTTGCACTGATTTCCATCTTACGCAAATTTGAATGCGGGAAGCTATGTGTGATCCTTGTTTTCCCGAAGACGGCTGCGCGACTGCATGCGTCCTGCCGCCCCTGATTCACCAACTCCCCTGCTGATCGTTTTTGGATGGGCTGGTGGGGATACTTTTTTGGTCAGCGGCTCCGAGGCAAAGGTCAAGAAGCGATTTAACAACGAACGGGGCGCGAACGAAGCTAATTGGCCGTGGCTGGTGGGGATTTTTTTTTTACAACAAAAAAAACACAAAACAAAAACGCGGGCGGAAGCGCCAGCGGCGGCGAGTAACGGTCGGGCTGCGGCCGAAACTAATTGGCCGGACGCGCGCGCGCGGGCCGCGGCCGGTGCCGGGGCGGCGGGTGCAAGGGTGCTGCAACCCAAGGAGTCTGAAGACCAGGGACCAGCACCTAGGGAGCAGTAGTTACGCTGCCAAAGTGCGCGATGCAAATACCCCCAAAGTGTCAGAGGCCATAGCCAAGCAGTACGCCGCTTGAGACACTATCTGAACTGTAGGGAGTCTGCCAACCTCGGCGCGGGAATGGCGTACCAAGAGGTCCCAGGGTGTCTGCCACGCTCAAGCAGAAGCGACCGAGAGACACGCAAGCTGTCGCCAGACTGCATACCGTAGGGAGAGGTTGGACTCTGACAGCGCCAGCGAACCGTCGCAGCTTCAGAGTACGCACCAACGCAGCCAAAAGGCGCGAAATTCGTGGTGTCAGTAACCGAACGAGGCACGTCAGGCCCGGGAGACAACCTCGAATAGATGCGTTCGCAAGCGAGCCACCAGGTAACATGATGTGACGCTATGCGGAAGGTACACCTGTCCCAAACCTCTACCAGGCACAAGTCGCAGGCGACTGCCAACCGGAGAAAGAGCAGGGACGCGTACCAGGGAGCATCTAACGTGACGAGCATACACAGAGCCGCCTATCCTTGGTACCCTGAAGACGATGGCGCTCTGGGAAAGCTGTGCTGCCGCTTACCAGCTGCAGCCCAAGGAACAGCCAGCGGTCACGAAGAAGCCCAGGGAGCTAACCGCTCATCCGGGTAGAGCGGGGGAGCGACGATGGGATGACGCCAGTTCGGGCAACCGGAACTGGCGGCCAGCAAAGGAAGCGGGCGTACGCACTAGGCACAGGTATGGGCTCAGTCTTCTGACCACCCGCGGCAGCACTGTGGCCGGTGCGCGCAGGTGGGTGCGTCCCTGCGTCCGGGCGCGGCAACAACGTCCTTACGGGTGGGCACCCCACGTCACCGTGCCGGAGGCGTACCTCAACGGCTCAGAAGTGCACCATCAGGTCATCGTTGAAAACCCGCTGTCGGGACGCCACCCGCCCACGGTCGCCCCCAGGGAATAGCAGAGAAGAGCAGCTGAAGGCCGCTGTACCGTACAGAAACCCAGGGGGTGTGCGTGCGGTTCTGGACAGGGACGAGGCGAAGCCATCTTTGCGTCGGTCACAGAGCCGCGGGGCCAGGGGACGAAGTCCGACAGGGCCAGAGGCGAAAACAACTACAGCGCGGCCAGGAGCCAACTATGGCCTGCACGCAACACGCCCCAGCGCTGTCATGCTGACGGTATTGCTGGTAAACACACTTGGGTCCAAAGGTAGGAAGTGCGCGTACCGGGGAGGGCGGCAGAAGGCCGCCACACGAGTATATGAAACGTAACCCAGGGAGGCAGCTGAAGGCTGCACAGAGTGTGGAAGTCGGACGCTGCACCTGAAACTCTTGGGGATGGGGGGGGGGGGCTCAGTCGCCCCACCGTTGTCTCTTCTCGCCACGATCGTCTGGCCTGCCGCCACCACGCTTGCCTCCTTACTGCCACTGGTCGTCGTGCCAGCCAGAGCTCCAGCCACTCTGCCAGTTGTCCCAGGCGTCCCAGGAACTCCCTGCCCGGTCGTACCAGCTGTTCTGCTGGTGGTTGCCCTTGCCCGTGCCGTCGGTCCTGGTGCGGCGCATGTATTCGGACCGCACCGTTGCCCAGTCGATGCGGAAGTTATACTTCTTGTCCATCGCGTAGGCATCGTATCCACAGTGCTTCCAGACATCCAAGAACTTGTTGATGTTCGCGTCCGTGTGCAGCTTCGGGTCTGACTTGGGATCCTTCCATCCAGGGATCTGGATGCCTTCTTTTGTGTAGGCCGACCACAGGGCGCAGGATACTCCACCCAGATCCACTTGGTGTCTGGTGATGCGCTTGGCGGGCGTATTTCCGCGGCGTTCCAGGTCCACGGAGCCCAACCAGGCCTTGTACATG